GGGGCAGCCACTGCACTCCAGTCCGGGCGACAGAGTGAGACTCCAACTCAAAAAAAAAAAGTTAAGCAACATCTCCATATAACCCAGAAATTCTTTTTTTTTTTTTTTTTTGAGTTGGAGTCTCACTGTCACCCGGACTGGAGTGCAGTGGCCACTACCAGCCACCACAGCCTCGACCTGCTGGGCTCTGGCATTCCTTCTGCCTCAGCTTTCCAAGTAGCTGGAACTACAGGCACACACTTCCACGACCGGCTAATTTTTAGATTTACTGTAGAGATGAGGTCTCGCCTGCCCAGGCGGGTCTCGAACCTGCAGGCTCAGGCAATCCACTCACCTCAGCCTCCCAAAGGTGCGGGATTACAGGCTGAGCCACCGAGCCCGGCAACCCAGAAATTCTACACCTAGCTGTGTACTCCAGAGAAATGAAAACATATCCACACAAAAAATTTGTACACAATTATTGGCTGGGCGTGGTGGCTCATGCCTGTCATCCCAGCACTTCACGAGGCAGAGGTAAGAGGACTGCCTGAGCCCAGGGGTTTGAGACCAGCCTGGGTAACTTGGCTAGACCTTGTCTCTATAATAAATCAAACAATTAGCCAGGCATGGTGACTCATGCCTGTAGTTCCAGTTACTTGGGAGGCTGAGGTGGAAGGATCATCTGAGCCCAGCAGATCAAGGCTGCAGTAGCTGTGATTGTGTCACTGCACTCCAGCCTGGACAACAGAGTAAGACTTCGAATAAAAAATAAAACAACAAAAAAAACTTGTACACAACTATTATTGCAGCAACTTTCATAATAGCCCCACAGTGGAACCAACCCAAATGTCCATCAACTTATGAATGGATAAATAAAATGTGGCATACCCAAATAATGGAATATTATTTTCAAAAGAAAAAAATGAAGTATTGACATGTACTTCTGGATGACCCTCAAAAACATTAAGTGAAAGAAGCCAGTTACAAAAGACTACATATTGTACGATTCTATGTATATGAAATGTTCACATAGGCAAATCTACAGAGACATCAAGTGGATCAGTGGTTGCCAGAGGTTGGAAGGAGGGAGTGGGAGGTGACTGCTAACAGGCACAGGACTTCTTTTTGGAGTAAAGAAAATGTTTTAAAATTGATTGTGGTGATGGTTGTTATACAACCCTGTGAATACACTAGAACACTACTGACTATGTATACCTTAGAAGGGTGAATTTCATGGTATGTAAATTACATCTCAAAAAACCCAAAATGTTAGGCCAAAAGAAAAAAACAAAACAAAAGTCATCAACAGTATGAAAACAAATGAGCACATCTGTGTTCTTAGCAAAACTTTATTTACAAAAAACAGGCAGCCAGATCAAAAGATATAGCTTGCCAATCCCTGTTTCAAGTAATCTTTTTTTAAAAAGTATGTAAATCAGCCAGGCTCGGTGGCTCAGTCTGTAATCCCGTGCCTTTGGGAGGCTGAGGTGAGTGGATTGCCTGAGGTTTGAGACCTGCCTGGGCAACTTGGCGAGACCTCATCTCTACAATAAATCAAAAAATTAGCCAGGTGTGGTAGCGTGCGCCTGTAGTTCCAGCTACTTGGAAGGCTGAGGCGGAAGGATCGCCAGAGCCCAGCAGGCGAGGCTGCGGTGGCTGGGAGTGTGCCACTGCCCTCCAGCCTAAGTGACGAAGTGAGACTCCAACTCAAAAAAAAAAAAAAAAAAAAAGAAATTAAAAGAAAATGGGTCAAGTGAAGACTTTATCCTATACAAAGGAGAAAGTATCTCTTTGTAAGACTAGAAGAGATGATTTGATGAGAGTATTTACTGAACTTTTCGATCTAAATGTACATAGCTCTGTGACTAAAGCAAAAGGACTTATCATTAAAAGGAACTAAGTTTTTTAAATTCCTCACATTTCTTTTTGAAAGCAAAGTAGCTTCTTCATTTTATTATTAACCTCCATGAACATCTCATCCTAAGTACCTCTTAACTTACCTAGAATACAGAAGGCAGACAACAAAGACAAACAGCCCAACAAGATTTTCTGAATTCAGAGAAGGCCCACTCTTTGATGGTGGAGGAGAGGTAGGAGCCACAGCAGTCGAATTTCCAGGAGCCAAGGTGGGTGCAGCTATGTTTGTAAGGAAGCTCAGCAGGCTGGGGTTGCAGGAACGATCTGAAAATGGGAGTTATTATTATCCCTGGCTACAGCTTCTGTTGCTCCAAGAAAGGTCTGGAGAAGCCCCTTGCACATCATTCAGTCAAGACATGAAACATGGAAAAGCTATACTTGAAGAATCTGAAACTTAGCAGTCAGTGACATATCTGCATCACAATCAGTGACTTAGAATTAGGAAAAATGAAAAGAAACAACAACAGTATCTGTCAGATTTCATAAATGTCATTCTTGATTTTATTGGCTTCGCAGTTTGACAAATCGTTTTTGTTCTTTCTATAGTGTTGAGGCTTTAAGCACAGAAGTTTATCTTCATTTTTGTTTTTATGAAATTACTTAAAACATAAAAGTTATCATTTAGGTATATGCAATAATTGTTTTCCTTTAAAAGGAGCCCAGAAGCTGGGCTCGGTGGCTCAGCCTGTAATCCCGCGCCTTTGGGAGGCTGAGGTGAGTGGATTGCCTGAGCCCGTGGGTTCGAGACCCGCCTGGGCAGCGAGACCTCATCTCTACAATAAATCAAAAAATTAGCTGGGCGTGGTAGCGCATGCCTGTAATTCCGGCTACTCGGAAGGCTGAGACAGAAGGATCGCCGGAGCCCAGCAGGCGAGGCTACGGTGGCCGGGAGCGGCCACTGCACTCCAGTCTGGGCGACCAAGTGAGACTCCAACTCAAAAAATAAATAAATAAATAAATAAATAAAAGGAGCCCAGAGAATACCCTATTGAGAAGTGATACTATAATAACTACAAAAAGAGATTTCCTATAGCTGTTTCTTCTAGAGCCTGTGACACCAAAGCAAAATTCAATTAAAACACTTCTATAAAGGGTCAAAACAAGGCTGCCCTGGTCTAGACTCTTAACTAGTTTGACCTAGTCCAGGTTAGGCAAAACCTAGACTATCTCAAAAACTGTGGCCCTTTGTCAGTTATAAATAGCTATAAAGAGACGTGGGAATAACAAGCCTCCAGTCAACACTACGCTTAAGTGAAGCTTTATTTTACGTTTGCTCTAGCTCTAGTTTTTGCACTCAACAAAGGGGTAATTTCCCACTTTCTTTTCATCAAATAAATATGTTATTGACATTCCCTTACCAGGTTCATTGGACATGGCTGACCAGGTAAGGTATATGGTGTAGAGGGTGATGACAGAGGACTGCAGGAGGCCGGAGTGAGGTTGGTGTTCCTGCAGAAGCAAAAAGGAAAACAATGTCACAGGACTGCCAGGGCTGACTTTCTAAAACCCAGTGTACTTCCCTGAGATTACCTCAACTGCCAGTAACTTTAGATTCTGCGTGATAGCTGAAAGATGACCAGTAACCTTTCAGTTTAACTTAGCTTGCAAAAAAACTAAGAAAGACAAAGCGTGTGCTACTGGTTCTCAAAGCATTTCATAATCCAAGAAATTCCAGTGTATCACACAAAGGCTTGGATGGTCTAGTCCCTTGGTATAATGGAAAAAGTCATTGCTACTAACTAGTAGCTAAGTGAAACTTATCACTTATTTGAGACCTCAGTTTTCTCACTTTTAAAAGGAGAGATAATAACTAGATGTTCTTTTCATATTTCACATCTAAAACTCCACAAACTTTTTTAACATATGGGATTCAAAAGATGAAACTCAAGAGTAAGAGTTTTGTTTAAAAATATTAAAATCACTGGGCATGGTGGCTCAAGTCTATAATCTCAACACTTTAGGAGGCCAAGGTGAGAGGACTGCCTGAGTCTATAGGTTCGAGACCAGCCCAGACAACTTGGTGAGACCTCATCTCTACAATAAATCAAAAAATTAGCTGGGCGTGGTGGCACATGCCTCTAGGTCTAGCTACTTGGAAGGCTGAGGTGGAAGGATCGCCTGAGCCTAGCAGGTCAACACTGGGGTGGCTGTGAGCGTGCCACTGCACTCCAGCCTGCGTGACAGAGTGAGACTCCAACGCAAAAAACAAAAACAAAAAACTAAAATCAATTATTTTTCAATTTAATTCCCCTAAAATATCTTAACTAATGACTCTAAGAATCATTCCCATAATTTAAACACTTTTATAAGAACTATAAATTCTCAAGTTACCTAGGTTCTTTTTTTTATTCATAGGGAAATTCATTTAATTATATCAGACACTCAATGGTACATCATATACTTAGTAATAGTTACAAAGACTTTATTATAATATGGAAAAGCACTTATATGGATAAACTTAGAAATAAATTCACAAAAAAGTTGACCTAGGTTTTAAGCTTCGCATTAGCTAAAAACATTTCACAGGAAAGAAACAGAAAATAACCATACCTGAATTTTTGGGTGGATTGATATCATGGAAACCACGACACAAAAGATCAGATTGATACTGATGAAGAACTTGTTTTCTGTGCAGCCATGGGATTTGGTGTAGTATGTATAGAGCAGCCCAACGGAGATGATTGACAAGATGTAAAATAAGCTTGTGAAGGACAGTAGAGCTGGAAAAAAGGAAACCAACATGAGTGCCCACAATTGTAATAAACTTACAGAAAGACCAATTTTCTTCGACTTTGCATAAAAATAAGGTTTTATTCCAAAATAACAGAGGTCCCAAGGTTAAAGTACCAGATTGTATTAGATTGGCTTGATGTCAGTTTCCAAAATCTACCAACCAACTGCATTCACTTCCCTACCAACCAACTGTGTTCACTTCCCAGATTACCTAATTTGACTTCATGGGTTGAATTATCAGGTGATTATTCTGGCTAGAGTAAGCTGCTAACTGCATGCTAAATAATGTGTGCCATGAGCTTATCTTAGGCACCTAGATTATTTCTAGGCCCTTGAAATGGCCCAGTTCATGGCAAGCCACATGCCAAGAATGGCATGAGGGGAACACAGAAAAGACAGGTGTCTTTTTATGGCAGTCTCACTCTCTGCAGACACTGGCTGCTTAAACCTGTTTCCTATCACAAAGAAAGAGACTACATCTCTGAACTGGGAAAGTGACTCAGCTGCTAGTTTCAAATAACTAAAGTAATGTTCCTTTTCATTTGAACAGATAATCCACAATTAGTTGTGTAAGTCTGAAAATCAGAAAACATGAACAGAGCATGCAGTTCACTCAGATCAACTGCAGGAATGCTGAGCTCAGCTAACCTGTATTCAACTCAAAGCATAGATTTGAGAAAACTCATTTCTACTTATTTCAATGAATTTTGCATGCTTAAAATTAAATGAGGTATACTGAGTTACTGGCACAGTTTTTTTTTTTTTTGAGTTGGAGTCTCACTCTCGCCCAGACTGGAGTACAGTGGCCGCTCCTGGCCACCACAGCCTCGACCTGCTGGGCTCCAGCGATCCTTCCGCCTCAGCCTTCCAAGTAGCTGGAACTACAGGTGCGCGCTACCATGCCCGGCTAATTTTTGATTTATTGTAGAGACGAGGTCTCGCCAAGTTACCCAGGTGGGTCTCGAACCCGCGGGCTCAGGCAATCCACTCACCTTGGCCTCCCAAAGTGCTGGGATTACAGGCTGAGCCACCGAGCTCGGCAGGAGCTTTTTATTGTATACTGTTTAATGCAGGAGTATGACTATCACAGATAAGCTTAGATACCTACCGGCATACCATAACCTTGGGTTTCCTTCTTCCATTCTATTTACCCATGATTCATTCCAAGAGTGAGCAGAGTCCACTAGCAGGATCAATTGGATGAGGATGAAGATGAAGGCCCCTATCATGCCGACAACAAACCAGGCTACAAACCAAGACAACAAAGTTACTCTCTACCATAGAGTAATATTTCTTTTTTTTTTGAGTCGGAGTCTCACTCTGTCGCCCAGGACTGGAGTGCAGCGGCCGCTCCCGGCCACCGCAGCCTCGACCTGCTGGGCTCCGGCGATCCTTCCGCCTCAGCCTTCCAAGTAGCTGGAACTACAGGCGAACGCTACCATGTCTGGCAAATTTTTTTTAAAAATTTATTGTAGAGATGAGGTCTCACCAAGTTGCCCAGGTGGGTCTCGAATCCGCGGGATCAGGCAATCCACTCACCTCAGCCTCCCAAGGCGCGGGATTACAGGCTGAGTCACCGAGCCTGGCTTAGAGTAATATTTCAATGTTACTGTCCAACATTCTGAACAGATTTCAATTCAAAGGAAGTGGTAAATACATTCTGTCTCCAGCAGTACAGTAGGATTATTACAATTCCAGATTCAAAGGCATTCTCTGAGAAACGTTCTGTTGGGTTTCAGACCTTTTAAACCATGTTTTAACTTGTGCCAAGAAGAGCCTAGGACCTGAGATTCCAAATGACACTGAACTTCTTTTCCTTTATTTTAAAGGCGAGAAAAATCACAACAGATATCTACAGATGTCACTCAGTGCCATGCTAAGGAAGTAGGCTAAGACAGAAGTAGTGAAGCACAAGAGTTACAAGTCCTTATTTTGACAAGCTCTTTGATTAACTTCATCATGTGTCAAGTAAGAAGGTAAACAATTAAGATATTGACAAAGGATTAACGTATGGTTGTAGAAGAGCTGAGAAGTGGACTGAATGCCTCTTGGCTTTAATCAAGTCATATGAATTGGACACCATCTCATTTAATTGCGAATTCTGCAAAAGCAGTAATGAAAACTTATCTTTAACTTAGTCATTTGTAGAGTTTATATAGCTTCTAATAATTAACCTTCTCAAAAGTGAGCCTACCTGTGGTGAAATAGCTCCCGGGGATGTAGAAAGATCCAACCATAATTCCAACAAGGGCAGCAATTTTGAAGAACCAAAACCTATTAAAATATAAAAATGCATTTATGGAATGCTAAGTTTCATCCTTGTACTGAGAAAAATTAGTTTCTGAAATGTAAAAATAAAGCCTTACTAGCTTTTTTCCCCCAAATAATTGTCTGGACTTATTTTTTCATTTGACATGAAGCTAATTCATTTAATGTTTCACACAATTAAAGGACATTCTCACAAAGAATACATCATTCACATTCACAGTAAGAGAGACATATAGATTTAGAGTCTCCCTACTTTTAGCACTTAAAGGTAGGAATTGTTCTGGCATTCTGGGAGTTCTAATGAAATAGCTAATGAAATACACAAAATAATTGCAATAGCTTGCTTGACATAGGTAACTCCATTTTGTTAAAATCCTCCATCTTAGCTGCCTGCTTGAACTAAGAATAACCTCCCAATGTATACGTGTGATTGTTATGTTCCCATGACCACAGACCCAAAGCTTTGTACCCATGGGCTAATCATGCTGACCGTTCTTGCTGACCATTTGTAAAACTCCCTAGCTACAAGTTCCGTGTAACTGTATGCTTTGTTAACTGAAATCAGATGCTGTGCCAAGAAATTGTTACAAAATTATTCCATGCAAAAATCCCCTTGCCATGTCCCTATAGTTTATTCCTTGTTCCTTCACCGCCCTGCTCACCCACCACTATGTAGCCAACTTGCAGATTTTGCCTACATAAGCTTCTTGCTGATTCTATTCAATGTCAAGAGCTTCTTAGCAAGAGCCTACTCTTCACTGTGCTAATAAAGGACTCTTAATTTGAACTTGGCATGCTGGCAAGTTTCCTTCTCGCAACTTGGTCATAACACTAAAATAACAGTATTAGCTATACACAGTGTCATTAACTGTAAGGTTTGGAAGAAAAGTAATTAGTAAATCCTTCATTTACAACACAGGATGCAAATGTCTTGCCCACAATGACACAGCTCATCGCTAGTCAAGGCAGGACCAAACCTGACTTTCAGTTCATGATCTTCAATGACTGCCTTGTATGTCACATGGAAAGAACCAGGCTTTGGAGCTAGAAAGAGCTGAGTTTCTTTCTTTTTTTTTTTTTTTTTTTGACTTGGAGTCTCACTCTGTCGCCCAGACTGGAGTGCAGTGGCCGCTCCCGGCCACTGCAGCCTGGACCTGCTGGGTTCCGGCGATCCTTCCGCCTCAGCCTTCCAAGTAGCCAGAATTACAGGCATGCGCTACCACGCCCGGCTGAATTTTTTGATTTTATTGTAGAGATGAGGTCTCACTGCCCAGGCGGGTCTCGAACCCACAGGCTCAGGCAATCCACTCACCTCAGCCTCCCAAAGGCGCGGGATTACAGGCTGAGCCACTGAGCCCGGCTCCAAAAGCTGAGTTTCAATCCAGCTCCAACTCTCAACTGGCTGAGAGATCTCAGGCAATTTATTTAACCTCTCTGAAATTCAGTTACTACATCTGCAAAAAGTAGATTGTAATACACATAAAGCTCATAAAACTCTCTTCAGTCTTCAAATGAGAATGAGAACATATATGTAGAAGAAAAATTGGTGGTTAGGAATGAGAGGCAACAGGATATGTCAATCAGTGGCCCCATATACAGTCACCAGGGTTTTTTGTACAAATACGTATCAAGTACACATTTATCTTTAGACAACAGAAAGAAAAAGTGTGTTTGTTTAGGCAGAGTCTAGCATAGTGCTTGATCGGTGTTCAATAAAAATCTAGGAAATTGAAGCAAAGGTATTTTTTTAAAAAAGATTTAGCCGGGCTCGGTGGCTCAGCCTGTAATCCCGCGCCTTGGGAGGCTGAGATGAGTGGATTGCCTGGGCCCGCGGGTTCAGGACCGGCCTGGGCAACTTGGCGAGACCTCATCTCTGCAATAAATCAAAAATTAGCCGGGCGTGGT